TGAAAAATGAAATCACAAAATAATTTAAAAAAAAAAAAAAAAAAAAAATTAAAAATTAAAATTAAGGTTTCAAAATTAAAAATTAAATTAAAGTTGATTCCTGTTTTATTGTTTCTAGGAATTATTCTTGCTGTTGTCTTTGCATTGCTGCTCCTCATCACAGTGTGTCTATGCAAACAAATAAGAATAGCTGTTGGTATGATTCAAGAAGCAAGCAAGTAAGTATCTCCTTTTTACTAACTCAGGAACCCTGTCTGTAGCCACATGCTCATCTGTAGGACAGAGGGGCGGACATAGGAATTTGAAATAGAGGGAGGGCCAGGGATGGAATTTTACAGATGGAGCATCCACAATACTTCAGACCCACTGAATTACTGAAATTTAACTCAACCCATAATATAGAATTCTATAAATAACATTTGACTTTGAATGCAATTTTCTTTTTCTCCCATTTTTTTCCCCTTAATCTTCAGAAATTAAGCCAGAGGTTGGGTGAGCCCAGTCGGCTTGTCCACCTCTGCAGGGTTGTAACTGTAGAAAACTAAGGGTGGATGATAGACATTTTAAGGGTGGGTGGGTGATAACATTGGTAAACTCTAAATAAATGGATTTTAAGGATGGAAAAGTGAGTTAGAAAGGGTGGGTGGAGGGCCATGAAATGAGCTTTAGACTGGGTGGAAAACATCAAGGCTGGGTGACCCCGCCCACCTCTGCCCACCATAAATACATCCCACCTTTGAGATTCAATGCTCTGGTAATCATTTATTTCCTTCCTTTAATTGGAGAGCCTGCTTCCAGTTGTATAATTTATTATTTGCTAGTAAAATTACTCTTACCATTCTCGGTTTTGTAATTATAGTTATGCATGTAAAATTGATAATCATATTTATAAATTACTAATGAATATTTGATTGTGTCTTACAGGGCTGTTGCTTCTATAATATCAACGCTTTTCTTCCCTGCAGTACCATTCATCTTACAAGTGTTGCTGTTTGTTGTATGGGGATCAATTGCATTGTATCCTTTTTCCTAATAATATTAATATTTAAAATAATATTAGTAATTATCATCATGATCATCACCAATATCACTATATCGTTTACTATGACCTAATGTTAAAGATTATATTATTTGAAAGATTATAACTTGGGTGTATCATAGCCTATTAAGTCTCTTGTATCTTTTATCTTGTATCTTTTATCTTGCATATTTTCAATGAATGTAGGACATAAACCACCCAGAACTAAAACAACCCGGACGAAAACCACCCAAAATGGAATATACCATGGATGAATTAAAGGCGTATAATAGGAAGTCACAGTGTAATCTATCCTATTGTGAAGCTGATAAAAACAGGCCCACCCAACATTGTCCACCCCACTGCCCACCCTACATTAACAGTGGTATATTCCATTTTGGGTGGTTTTCGTCCAGTGGTTATTGTCCTGGGTGGTTTATGTCTGATTTCCATTTTCAACTTAACCTGTGCAATAGGTACCTTGCGAGCTCTGGCGTACAGGACTGCCTGAAAGTCGCACCAGCTTATTCAAATTTCACTTACCAGGCTTGGAATGTTCCTAGGGCAAATTTTGAATGTGATTGTAATGTGAGTATACTTCATAGCTATTTATTAAACTTTTTCCAAAGAGATGTCTGTGATTTACTTTTGTTGATATTACGTTGTTATTTCATTATAATTCTGATATATTATTTTTGTATTTTGTTTTTTATAATCTTGTATTTATTCATTGAAGGAATAAGAATCTGAATATATTTTTTTGTGATATTGATAATAAAGAGATCTTGAATCTTAAATTTTGAATATATTTCCATATATTCATAAAGGCTGATTGATTTTTGCTAATGAAAATTCGCTAATGAAAATCATAATCATTTTACAAGAAATAGCAAAGCACTTTCACTGGACAAATGTAGAACAGAATATTATAAACATTCCTTTAAATGGAAAGGTGCTAATCTTTTTAACACATTAAGTAAAGTAACTAAATCATCAACTAATTTACATATTTTCAGAAGTCACTTTAAGCTATCAATACTTTAAGTTCTTATTTTATATTTTTATATTGTTTATGTTAATTTATAATCAAGTTAATTTTGGTGTAAGTCATCAAGGGAAAGAGGGCTCAACCGGTTGGGAGCAAAATTTGACGAACAAAGTATGAAACTTAGAAGAATTCCATATGCATTTAATCTACAAACTGGTTTCGTATAAACAGCTGTCAAAAGCTGCCCACACTCATCAGGTACAAAGAATTACATGTGCTAAGAGACAAGCCGAATTTATGATGCTATGGTTCCTTGCAGTCTTTACTATTGTTTTGCTGTAGAGTTGTTATTGTTTTGTTGTTACACAATAGATGCTTCTTTCTGTGTCTATACTGTTAATTTATATTTTATATTGTTTATATGTTAATTTTTGTATTTCAGTTACATGATATTTTACTTTTATATTCTGAAAACTATTGTACCCAGGGCCCCTAGTGAGACCAATCTACTTGACTGATTGGGCCACCCTGGTTAAAAATTGTGAATAAATAAATAAATTGTTTGTCATCACTATGATGGTAAATAGGGTGGTATTTTAGCTTTGTTGTAAAGAATTTTGAAAATAAAAATCTCCCCCTAACAACTGTGGTATTTATCATGCATTTTATCAGTACTATTTTTGAGCATTGAATTTTGTGTTGTACACATTTTGCACATAAGCTCATTGCAAAATTTCTATGCATATCTGCAACAACACTTGCAGAAGGTAAACGGTTATATGACACATTGAAAACTGAGATGCTTCACTAAAGCCCTCTGTCTAAACTATCAACATTTATTTGACAACAAAATCTGACATGCCTAAATATGGTCTTGATGACATCACATCACGACCATATTTAGGCACATCATACCTATATATGGGCATACAGTTTTTTTGTCATAGAAAATTTGATAGTATGTGCAGAGCTTGTGTGAAGGGAAACTTAGTCTTTGTCAAAGTCAATATTTATTTTATGTACCAAGAAAGAAACCGCTAGTATCTATGTCATGATTATAGCTAGAAAAACATTAAGACCTATAGTTTGCTAATATAGCAACCCCATTTCCCCCACAAGAAACAAGTAAATTCAGTACTATGTAAAAAACATATTCCAGAAAAAAACTGTTTCTTTAAATTCAAATGTACAATTCATTTATTGTTTGTATGCTCTGCATGACTGTAACCACTCTGTTTTCCTTTACAACTTTAGACCAACTATTCTCTGGCAGATGATACTGCCCTTAATCTAACTGGCTTTGAGGAAGGCTCCATCATCTGCGAGTTCCAATCATACGCGGTGCCCGACCTAGCCCTGTACTTGCAGGCCTACAACCTGTTTGGTCTCTTTTGGCTCATGTACTTTATCATAGCCTTGTGTCAGGTGACTCTTGCTGGTGCCTTTGCTTCCTGGTATTGGACGTTTCAGAAGAAGGACACGCCCACATTTGCTGTGACTGCCTCATTCTGGCGGGCTATTAGGTAAGAAGAAAAAAATGTTATGTCATAGATAACATGAAAAAAAGATGCGTTTTTAAACTAGGGAGTCAATGTTGATTTGATTTAAAATGGATGACATGTTTTTTCATAGTTGTACATGAATTAATTTAAAACTAGGAAGTTACCGTTTAAATAATTTTAAACTCTATCAATCCTTCCAAATATAATATATCTCTAAATCACAATTTTAAAATACTGTATATCCAACTAATGCCGTTTCTGATGGAAGTTAAGCAAGTTTTGAGAAAACAATCAACAACAACTTGATTAATTGTGTGATTTGCAGGTATCACTTGGGATCCATTGCATTTGGTTCATTGATCATTGCCATCATCAAGATGATACGTGTCATGCTGGAGTATCTTGAAAGAAAGTTGAAAGGTGAGAAACCCTTGTAGACTTTGTTATTGGTAACTCTCATGAGTAGTGGTTAGTAGCTCTCGAAAAAAGAATTAAATTGTTGGTAGTTCTCACCAGATAGTTGACTTAAGCTATTGATGGTTCTTACCAGAATGTAGACTGAGTGGTATATAATTTTCACACTCCAATGAACCACTGCTTCTCGGAGCCGATGACTGAGGCAAAAGCTCCAAAAGCATGATTTCATGGTAATCTGTAAAAATTACATGAATTCTTTTTATATCAGAAAATGTATTTTTTTCTGCCTTACTTGGGAAGGGAAGGCCCTCCTGGACGATGGATGCTGACTGGATTTTGGCTCCTCAGTCTGTTCCCTCTCCTGACACTACTGCTCTATTTTTTGTGAGAAATAAAAGTTTTTATTGAAATTAACACACACTGTTTTCTCAAGGTCAATGTTTCCATTGACCTTGAGAAAACAACAGTACTTCTAGTTCTCTTCCTTTAATTGGATAATTATATGTTTATAGAAATCTTATGATAAATAATAACTCTAGTAATGTGTACTAAATCTTTGAAGTATTCATTATGCAAACTTATATTTTCCGTATTTACTCTGAAAAGATAATATAAAATCTTTGAAGTATTCATTATGCAAACTTATATTTTCCATATTTACTCTGAAAAGGTAATATGTAATATGCAATATTTTTGTTTCTTATTAGGCCAAGAAAATGATGTTGTCAAGTATATCATCAAGTGTTTGAAATGCTGTTTCTGGTGCTTAGAAAAGTTCATGAAATTCCTAAATAAAAATGCATACATCATGGTAAGATTGTCTTGGATTTTCGTCCTTTAGCAACAAGTAAAATAGGATATGCATGAAGGAAGTTACCGTTTAAATAATTTTAAACTCTATCAATCCTTCCAAATATAATATATCTCTAAATCACAATTTTAAAATACTGTATATCCAACTAATGCCGTTTCTGATGGAAGTTAAGCAAGTTTTGAGAAAACAATCAACAACAACTTGATTAATTGTGTGATTTGCAGGTATCACTTGGGATCCATTGCATTTGGTTCATTGATCATTGCCATCATCAAGATGATACGTGTCATGCTGGAGTATCTTGAAAGAAAGTTGAAAGGTGAGAAACCCTTGTAGACTTTGTTATTGGTAACTCTCATGAGTAGTGGTTAGTAGCTCTCGAAAAAAGATTTAAATTGTTGGTAGTTCTCACCAGATAGTTGACTTAAGCTATTGATGGTTCTTACCAGAAAGCAGACTGAGTGGTATATAATTTTCACACTGCAATGAACCACTGCTTCTCGGAGCCGATGACTGAGGCAAAAGCTCCAAAAGCATGATTTCATGGTAATCTGTAAAAATTACATGAATTCTTTTTTTCTCAGAAAATGTATTTTTTTCTGCCTTACTTGGGAAGGGAAGGCCCTCCTGGACGATGGATGCTGACTGGATTTTGGCTCCTCAGTCTGTTCCCTCTCCTGACACTACTGCTCTATTTTTTGTGAGAAATAAAAGTTTTTATTGAAATTAACACACACTGTTTTCTCAAGGTCAACAATACTTCTAGTTCTCTTCCTTTAATTGGATAATTATATGTTTATAGAAATCTTATGATAAATAATAACTCTAGTAATGTGTACTAAATCTTTGAAGTATTCATTATGCAAACTTATATTTTCCGTATTTACTCTGAAAAGGTAATATGTAATATGCAATATTTTTGTTTCTTATTAGGCCAAGAAAATGATGTTGTCAAGTATATCATCAAGTGTTTGAAATGCTGTTTCTGGTGCTTAGAAAAGTTCATGAAATTCCTAAATAAAAATGCATACATCATGGTAAGATTGTCTTGGATTTTCGTCCTTTAGCAACAAGTAAAATAGGATATGTATGAAGAGTTCTTGCTCTTTATTTTTCTTCTCACATACATTCTAATAAAATAATACAAAAAAATACAAAATTGGAATATTTTTGTTTTTCCTCAGATTGCCGTGTATGGTAAGAATTTCTGTACATCAGCAAAGAAAGCTTTTTTCCTACTGATGCGAAATATTCTGAGGTAAATGTTTTTATAACTACCATGTTATCAATCTTAATCGTCTTTGTTATTATTACCATAATCATCATCAACTCCATCATTTTTATGGTTATTACTATATATTGTTTTTGGTCTTTAATTTTTATGTAAATGAGGAAAGTGGTGATAAGATGGCTAAGTTGTTACAGAGGCCAGTGTTGTATAAATGAGCTCTAAAATATGGGGACTTAAAAATGGCATAGAAATTATTTTTGCCCATTTTAAATATCTGATTAATTGTGTTTCAAAGTCTGTTCTGGAATTGTCAACAATAGTTAATTCCATCCAGAAATGTATGTGTGAACATCTTTGGAAGGCAAATACACAACATCATAGTTATCTTAAAGACTCACCTCTATAACTAATTATCCCATTTTTATTCTTATTTTATTTATTGTTGCATTATTTATTTAAGATTCCAAACTTTGCCACTGCTTCTTTTGATTTGTTTACTTGTTCTGTGCTTGGGTTAGGCAATGATCACGGCTGCTTGTGGGTTGTGAGGTGCCTAAATATGTGGGGTGTAGCGCTTCGTATCGGCAAAGAAAGGCGCTGTACAAATGTTCTGATTGGATTGATTGGATCTTGACTTGGGGTGTGCTGTACCTTTACTCCCCAGTAACCAAGGCTAGAAATGCTAATGAATAACCCATCATTATGTAGATTCTGAAAATACTAATAACAAACATTTCGGTTTTTGCCACAACTTTCCATGACTTCTCCTAATGAGTTATTAATTTATTATTTATAATTTGTTTTTGTATTTTTTTTTTTTTCAGAGTGTTTGTAGTGAATCAATTGACCGATTTCTTGATATTTCTCGGAGTCATGTTTGTTGTGTGCCTGTGTTCTGTTGCTTCCTTTTATTATTTTACCAATAGCATCACTATAGTATCGGAATATGTCCCAGCTCCTGAACTCAATTACTATTGGTTGCCAATTATAGTAAGTTGCTTTACGCATTTTTGCATTTATACATTAGAAACCCTATCCTGTTGTAAAAGTTGATCGAAGTACATTGGGTCATTGACCTTAATAAGTGCTGCAACTAAAAGAATTCTTACATTCAGTATAGTTTTCACTTTCTAGTGTTTGATAGGTTCCAAGTTCGAAACATTGAGTTCAAATCTTGGTATACAATTGTTGCAATATATTTGATGAAAAATAGTTGAAATTAAAAAGTAATTCAAACTATTTTTTGAAAATGTATTTTCATAAATTTTTAAAATCTATACTCATTAATATGATGATACAAATGTAAACTATGTTTTTTTAAACAATAACTTTTATTATTATTCGTTTACATTATTATACAATAGAACAAAATATGTACAGAAAATTAAAACTAAGTTGTGTACAGTAATGATCATTATTATTAAACTTAAATAGTATTCTATTCTTCCATTGATATAAAATTCTTCTCTTCTTTTTGCCCCTCTAGGTTTATTTTTACTATTCTATCTTCCTCATTCTATGTATGTAGTACAATTTTTTTATCACATCTTTTTTCATTTCAGACAATTGGAGTGGGCTCATATGTAATCGCTAAAGGATTCTTTAGTGTTTATGACATGGCTGTAGACACATTGTTCCTCTGTTTCTGTGAGTGTCATTCGTTTTTTGAATAATGGTATTATTTTGGTTGTCAATAAGTTTATTGGCTGATGAAATCAAGGTTATATTGTGATTATGATTAAGATGATTAAGTTTAGACTTAGCCAGTATCAGGATTCTCCTCACTTATTTATTTTGTAAATACTTACCTTGATAAACCAACTATTACCATTGCATTTTTATATGAACATCCTTAAACCTACAAAGAAAATAGAACCACCCATCACAAGGCATCACATAACCATGCCCATATGCTGATGCTTGTCTTCATACCTTTGTCGTGGATTATGATGAAGCATACACTTACCAAAGTTCTTTAAGCCTAGCATAGGTTTCATAAGAAAACTACAGTAATTGGATTATTTTTGGATCCTTATGATCTGAATTCAGCAATAAGAAACAGAAAGTTTTGGAATAGGGAGAAGCAAATGGGTGTGGGCATAGTCATGTGGTGTCCTGGAATGGACAATTCTATTTTATTTTGTAGGTGTGTTCTTTTAAAACAAACAATATCAATAGTTGGTTTATTTAGGCAAGTATCTCATAAATGTCAGATGTCACATCTGTGTTGATCTGGAACAGATCCCAGCTGGATATACTTTGTGTGTTTCCTCCTTCAAAGCCTGCATGCAGCTAGGGTTGGGCCTGGATGGAGCTCTTTGATAAATGTGCCAGTGAGCTTACCTTCAAACCGCAGGTTAACAATACACCTGGTCTGTTTCTGGTTATTGGCAATTTTTGAATTTTCCTTTATTTATTCTCGTTTTTCCTACTCCAAAAAAAACAAAAAACAAAAAAAAAAACTATGAGGTCGTATTAGATTCTATATTTATAAAAATGAAAAAAAAAATGTATACTGGATATTTTTTATTTTCTGATTTTTTTTTTCTCTTAAAGTGGAGGACCTTGAGCGACATGATGGTTCTGCGGAGAAGCCTTACTACATGTCCACGAATCTGATGAAGATTGTCGGCAAGAAAAATAAAAAGGTGAAGAAGACACAGCAATAGAAGACACAGCGACGGAAGCGAAAAAAAAAAAAATAAAAAGAATCATTCCTTGAGAACCATCAGTGCCTGAAGTAGTACTAAATATAAAAAATTTAAAAATTTAAAATTAAAAAAATCATACATTTGTGAGTTCTTAAATTGCGTATTTCACTGTTCTAGACTAGATAATGATAATTCTTGTAGCTTTGTAATTTTTAAGCTTACTAATTCTGTATGGAAATTTCCAACTTTATAAATTATATTTGTTATTTAATATGTCGGTGATTAGAGGAAAAATTCACAATGTTACATTCAAAGTTTCTTAATTGCAGAGATAACAAAGAATTATTACATACACCAATATACAGTTACATATAGAAATGTTATGCATTGCAAGATTTACTTACTAATGTTCAATCAAGCTTATGTAAAGTGTATTGGTTCATTAAGAATGAACACATTTAATATGTTATACATGAGTATAAATGTACATAATATTGAATTTCTATGGGCTAAACTACTGAAAATATGAATAACAAAATAGTTTGATTGAAAATTTACACTACACTGACTAATACTATTTATATAAAGTAAAGTGGCTGACAATAAAAAGTTTGTATATCAGCAAAAATGAATCACAAAGTAATTTTATTATTGACTTTTTTAAATGTTTTGTCAGATATTGCTAATTTAGTATGTCTTTAGTAAAATAACATATGAGGTTGGATCTATAATGAGAATTACTATATTTTGATACCTATTTTGACTAGTATTTATCATTTCAATTAATATATTTCTTAAAGTTTGATACCATATGTAACTTTTATATAGAGCACCTTGCAATCTTACTGTCTTTTTATACATTTTTTTTGTGTTTAATAATTGTGATAATATATGCATATATGTATATATTGCACCTATGCGAGTATGTAAATTTGTTTTGACTGTATATATACAGTATAGTGAAAAATTAGGATTTTTTTAGATTTAACTTGGTCACATGTTTTCCTTGTGTTGACAATATTCTATAGATGCCTAGTTTGATAAATTTTTGCACATTTCCAATATTTTATCGATTATTATTATTATGTTGATTGATTAAATTAAAATTACATTATTCTAAAAATATTGATTAATATATATTTTTTATGTAGAGTACTTATTACTATTTTTATGGATTTGATTCAAGCATCTATCAAAAGCTATGTTAGAAAAACACCTTGGGTAAACATCAATGCAGAGAGTTGTAATAACATTGGCCAACCATTGAATATTAAGTACTGTTTTATAATTGTATGCATCAGGGAAATATGAAGAATTGAGCCAGTTTATTATAATTAGTTAATAACATTAGTATAGTATTCATTGAAAGTAATAAGAACAATATGTAAAAGAACAAATGATTGGGATGGTGGAAGAACTGTTATAGCTCTTTATATGAATGAATGAGAGTAACTTGTAAAACATAAAATAGATTGTTTAGAAAAATGTTTGTTGTAACAAGTGAGAGGGATGTATGAAAATATATCTTTTATCTCCATTGCTTTTTGCATGCTTCCAGAATATACCGGTACTAGTAGAGAACTCTAGAATTCAAAGATATGAACATAAATTTACTAATTATCAACAGCTGATTCATAGGTTAAAGGACTTAAATTATAGTTGAAATTATAGTTCCATTGAAAATTAAAAATTAATGCACTGTTATGATGTTTAAAGGATGAATTAGTTTTAATCATCTATAATTATTTTTATATGAAATAAATGTTTATTAATTTGCTTTAATATAGGAATGTTCCCATGCACATCTCACCTATACAAAAAAAAAAGGTGTATAATTGAGCGGTTACGCCGCTTTTTCCCCCAGTTTTTAAATATTCAAAAATCTGTATCTCATTCACCATTCTCCAGTTTTTCGTCAAACAACTTTTTTCTGTCTTAGAAAAATCAGTTCTACAACATATCAAAAATGTTTTCCTCCGGAGCCTGACTTTAACATGATGTGTATATAACATTCCTAGTTTTTAAGTTAAGGTACTGTATAGATAAGATTGTTTTAGTTGTAAGTCTTCTGAGAAAGCATATTTGCATTCATTCGATGGTCAGTCAATTTTAACAATAACAAATCTTTGGGCTACACAAAACTTTAGGCTGTGCAGTGTGGGTATTCGTTCTTTTGAAGGTGGGCTGTGGTGCTCGAAGGTATCTAGTCTCCCATATGTCTCGAGAAAAACCGGCATTATCTTCCCTGTACCCTTGTAAGCAAGCTAATCAACTGCCTAAAACAATTTGTATTTGCATGTTTTTTACTACTTTATTATTAAATTTATTCCTGAAATCAGCTGATTATGCGTATCACCACTACCCTCAGCAATGTACAATTGAAGTGGCACCAGAAATTTGCTGACAAGTGGTCCTACATATCCGACGGAGGGGTCTGAACCAAGGGGCCGACTGCAGCCTCGGTCAACGGCCTGGAATAAAGGATAAATGAGTTTTGTCCAAATCGTGCATTTAGACCGCAATATTAGGGATAAGCATTCAAAATAACGTTATTTGGATAGGAAAATTATTATTTTCTTTATTTTTGTATGCTTGCTACAAAATATTGTAACGTTTTTGCATGCCATTTCAAATACAAAATACAGTAAATCTGCTCCTGATCATCTGCTCCTGATCATCGTCTCCATTATCATTATGAGTCACCATCACTGTATTGAACCATCATAAACTTACGATACAATACGATACGACTTTTATTTCCATCAAAATTCAATAAAATACAATAAAAATACATCATGATAATAAACGAGATATGGATGGGGCCAGCTTGTAAAACGCTGTACAGTATCACCTTTACATAATAATAGTTAAGCTTCAGCATAAGCATCATTTCAGTATTGTTACCAGGGGTGGCACCAGTGGGGAGTACTGCTCAGAAATACCGGTATGGTGTCCGGCGGGGGATAGTCTCACCTGTGTATATATATAATTATAATACGCTACAACCAACCATACAAATTTGTCTCGGTTCTTTTTGTTACTGATTGTCTTAAGTGAGTATAGTATGATACAAATTCCAAAGTGCTATATAAATAAAAAATAAAGAATAAAACATACTGGATTCTTTGGAGTTTGTATCATGCTACTGTTGTTAAATTACCAATACTGTAGTACTAAAGAAGTAGTTTTTTTGTTTTGTTTTTTATCTTTTCCCAACTAAAAAAATTACCTCTTTAATATATACATTTTTTTTTAATGTATGGCCTCTCAAATCAATTAAATAACACATGTAATTGCTGGACCCCAACCAGGGCTTTGGCCCTGGACCCCACCGGGGGCCCTTGGCGGACCCACCCCCCTCCACTGGCCCCAGCCAATGGTACTCGCAAGTGGCCTTTCAGTATCAAAAAGACCCCCCCCCCCCAATCAAAATCCTTGCTACGGGCTTGTGTTGGCGCCGCCACTGCCACCCCTGGATCAGCCACTGGAAAGAGTAGCTTGGTAAACATAAAGTAAATAGTTCAGCTTGTTTAATTGTCATTGCAAGTGAGAGTAATGTGCTTCCACGCTTAATATTCTATACAGTAATATGACTGTTGCATTCAGTCTCATGATTCATCATACAGATGCAACACAGTGATGAATTGTGTCAGGTTGCATCTTACAATGCTGTCTGAGTTGGCCTTTACATTTAACATAATTTTAATTAATTAATTTTAATTTAACATGATTTGAGTGTGAACATTTCTAATTTATAACAGATTGGTCCTATTAAAACAGCTGTGTCTTTTCAGAGAAATTTCTTCAATCGATCTAGAAATCGTGCCAAAAATACCATTCCTTATAAGACAAGCTTGTCAATGAGGAGAGAATGCCTTTGAAAAATAAATCCTTTTTGCATTTCTCTTTCACATTAAAGACTGTCAATTAGGCCAGTACATGCTCGGTCCCCCTAGATTAGGATGGGAGATGATCACTTTGGATAATCTGTCCAAAATTCTTAGGATGGATAATAGTTTATAGTTGATGCCTGGTACCGTCTGTCTTTCTTTTCATTATAGCAGCATTATAATTAAATCACCTGGCACCAAAGTTTACAGAGAAAAAAAAATAGACAACAATTCAGATATCATTTATTTTATTTCACCAGCATTGAAAAAACATTAATAACTGTCCTATCTTTGAAGAAAAAATACTTTATTAACTTGAAAAATATAATTTCGTAATATGACAGCTATACCTTGAAAAGTCATAGCTTACCGCTCTACACAACATGTACATAATTGCATAACAGATATTATGTCATCTCCAACAACTTCAGAAGAAAATTGTCTGTGATAAATGATATTTCAGACGTGATTGAGAAACCTCATTCAAATCTAATTGAATATTCATTAGTGTTGCAACATTTTACCAAATGCAGCAGAACTTGTCCAACTGCGCTCGTCGCAATTGACTATTATTTTGTATTTTAACACAAGATATAGCCTAGGCGTTAGTTTTCATGAGAAAAAAAAATACATTGTGTTTGAATAAAATGTCTTATATAATTAAAATAAAACAATCAATGATGACGTTGAGTAAATATGGCCTCACTTTCTCTATTTGGAGTCACTTTTGTTTTATTTTATTTGAACATAGTCAGTGCACCTTCTGGTTTTATATAATTAACATTTGATAAACTTCTAGTTCTACATAAGTTTGAATAATAAAATACTATAATATTTTTTTTATGTGTATTCAAATCTATAGGCTAAAAGTGAACATTCACTACAAAACCTTACTACAACAATGAGTATATACAAAACCCATAGCTGCTAAATTGCATGTTGCTTATTGCATTTAATACAACAATAAAGCCTACATGGAAGAAGTTATATTGGTACTGTTTTATTTTATTTATTTATTCTTTCTTTATACTGTAGGCGCTTTTGGTACTAATACACTATACTATTCAAAATGGTACAAACAATATAACTATACAAAATGGTTTAAAGGGGGGGGGTGCGGGGATGAGACAAGTGGCCATATATTGCTTATTTAACCTTTCCTGAGTTCGGGAAAAATACTTAAAAAATTCAAAATGTTGAGATGTAAGGATAATTACAGAAACAAAACACAAAACATATGATGAGACAGGAAAATCAGGTGAAAACGAGGCTGATCACTTTTTTCAGTAGCTTGGTAGCATTTTCTAACCAACTCATTAATATTCAAGACAAGTCTGTCAATTAATTTTTGGCGAGCAGCTCATCGAAAAATCGTCCCGACGATCGAGCGACTATAGCCTAGACAATACACACAGTATAGTGTGAAGCGTGAGTTTTGTGATCGTTGTGACGGTAATTTAGTCAACGTCAATTCAATCATGGAGGAATAATTCAATTGAATTAATAAACGTATATCAGTCCGATGACTTGTTTGTTTATAAAGGCCTACACCTATGCCTAGGATTAGCACAGTCAGTGTCAGATCTACCCAGCAGCAGTAGCGCACTCCGGTCCTACTAAATACCACACGGAACCACTCGGGACCACACGGGTGCAAAATCAAAATAATCAATAGAAACCAACTTTTAGTACGGTAATTATCCAAAATATGGTAAAAATGATTTTTTTTTTTTTACAGGTTTTTCCGCCGTGCTTCGGAAGGTAATGCGGTGACATTGAGGTTCTGTAACGCATTCACGTCTCCAGAAACGCGTTCAACCTTGACCTCTACAACATTCACTACGTACAGTACGTTACATCAGTACGTTACATTTCATCCTGCGTGTATGCCTATTGTATGTATAGGCCTATTATTCTACAATAACTGTATTTATTACTGTATCTGCTTTGTATTTTTTATACTTATGTGTTTTTGACTTATTATTTTAATTTTAATTTTTTAAAATTTGTATTGATCCTGTAGTTATGTTATGTTTTAGCCCAGAGACAAATCTAGTTAACTTCTTATGAATAATGTTTTTAAAGATGGTATTTTGAGATGTTTTCTATGAAAATAAATAAATAAATGGCATTAGTAATTAGTACAGCTTTTTGTGTTTCAATGTTTTTGTTTTTTTGTTTGTTTTTTTTGTTTTTTTTTGTTTTTTTAATGAAATGTTTCACTGTTTGTTATCTTCTTTGCTGGGATCTGCGGATGACCAGAGATTTTATCCCTGAGCAGTCCCCCAGTATAAACAATAAGGTAAATAAATAGATAAAAAATGAAAGGAAATTGTCAGTTCAGAATTCATTCCATTTGGTAGGCCTATTGGATTTGTATCAAGTGTAAACCAATTGAGGAAAGGAGATTTTCTGCATTAATATAAAGAATAACAAAGAAAATTGGTAGGCCTGTTGGATTTGTATCAAGTGTACAACAATTGAGGAAAGGAGATTTTCTGCAATAATATAAAGAATAACAAAGAAAAAAACTTATACATATAGATATATAAATAAATAAGATTCAGTACGACAAATTTATCCGAAGTCAAAAATTCCATTGGGTTAAGGGTAGAATATAAACAAATAGATTCAAGATTACAAAAATAAAATTGTTTTATTTATACATTTTTATTCTAATCAATTAACTACTCGCATCAGAACCGCTCAATTTTATTATTGTATGTTATGTAGATAAATTTGTCGATCGTACAGTATTCTAGTTTATTGACAATATATCAGCCCTGCAACTACATAAGCCACTATTGTTATTTTATCAAGTATAGGTCCTCAGTGTTTATGCTAATTGATAGTTCAAACTATAAATGAAGAATGGCAGACGATTAAAATTTTCGAGTAGAAAAATATAAATATATTTTTGATTTTCCGACAAATTTGAACTCTTGTCACGTGCCATGTAATAAGACTCACGTGTGCTTAGTTTGAATAAAAATAATCTTGCATAGACCAATCAGCAACAGGAACATAAGAAAGTATAATACATACTCCAAGTATTGAAATACACGCCATCGTGTTGGGATTCAATATTTCGACATTAATTATATCATCATCAGGAAAGATGATGACATAATTAATGTCGAAATATTGAATCCCAACACGATGGCGTGTATTTCAATACTTGGAGTATGTATTATACTTTCTTATCTGAGATTAATCAGTGGACCTTTCGGTTTTTTCAACAGGAACATCACGAAGCAAATTTAATAGTCACCGATTAAATCGTAGTTTAGTGAAAATTAAGTCCATTCTATCTTGTGCGGTACCGTAATCAGTGTCCTGGATTACCAATTATGTAATCACCTAAATCTACCACAATTGAAGCGTAATACATTGTGTATCAACGTCAAGATTATGCCTGCAGCTTTTCACCTAACAATAGAAACTCTTAAGTCAATCATATATCATGTTCCATTCATTGTTTCGACGATTACTGAACGTAGGAGGGTTAAACGTGCAAGGACAGTGACGATAAAGTACACCATTAGGCCTACTTATGTTGAAACTTATTTTGTAATGCAATATTCACCGATATTCCGGCAATAAAGTATATATATATATACTGCAGAGTTCCTAAATTGACTTATTCTCATTATGTATCATGTCCGTTTTGTACTGTGCGTTTGTTTGCCCTCCTCACCCACTCCTAACTCACTGAAAGAAATAGGGGCAAAAAAATTGCCATTCTAGGCCTCTGTGGGTTTTATCCCATCTAATGAGTATCTTAAAAAAAAAAAAATCTACCCGCCACTTTTTATCATTAAAAAAAAGAAGGGCAAACAAACAATTCAATTTTATGCCTTATATAGATAGGTCAACTAGCAAATATTAATTGAAAGATGTGTACAGTAATGGATATAAATGGTAGATAAATAAGAGCACAACACATCATTTTAGAAAAAATAACAAAGGTTAAAATTAGTGACATTAATACGTTTATTACTAAACGAATATCTCGGTCGTCCCTGCAATAAACCTTCTTTAAACACTTTATTAGCATAAACAATAAGGGCTAGGCCTATACTTTATAAAATAACAAATGTTTTATATACTGTAGCTCTACAGAGCTGATGCATGCTAATTAGCAGAGATTACTTATACAATATACTGTACATGAATTTAGGAATTCTGAATTTAGGCCAACAGTACCAGACAAAATAAAATAAATAATAATAATATTATAATACAATGATAATAATACTACTACAACTACTACTACTACTAATAATAATAATAATCGTCCTATAATGTGCATAAACCTCAAATGAGTATATTCGCACAGCAATAATAATAATAATAAATTTGTGAGTAAATATCTAATATATATATATTAGATATTTACTCACAAATTAATTATTATTATATATATTATTATATATTATATATATATATAACAACTATATATATATATAACTACTTTTGGCAATACTAGACCCCTCTCAAGAGTTTTTATTTACAGTATAT